ATGTACCACAGTTTTTGATCCACTCATTTACTGATGGGCACTTAAGCTGTTTCTACCACCTGGCCATTATAAATTGTGCTGCTATGAACATTGGGGTGCATAAGTTCTTTTGAATTGGTGTTTCAGGACTCTTAGGATATATTCCCAGCAGTGGAATTGCCAAGTCAAAAGGTAGCTCCAATTTTAGTTTTTTGAGGAAATTCCACTCAGTTTTCCACAGTGGCTGCACCAGTCTGCATTCCCACCAACAGTGTACTAGGGTTCCCTTTTCTCCACAGTCTCACTAGCACTTGTTGTTTTTTGTTTTGTTTATGATGGCCACTCTGACTGGAGTGAAGTGGTTACTCATTGTGGTTTTAATTTACATCTCTCTGATGGCTAGTGTTGCTGAGGATCCTTTCATATGACTCTGGGCCCTCTGTATGTCCTCCTCGAAGAAATGTCTGTCCAGGTCTTTTGCCCATTTTTTAATTGGGTTGTTTGTCTTCCTAGTGTGGAGTCGTGGTCCTTATATATTTTGGATATCAAACCCTTGTCTGAGGTATCATTGGCCAATATATTTTCCCATACAGTTAGTTCCCTTTTCATTTTGCTGATGTTTTCTTTAGTTGTGTAGAAGCTTTTTAATTTGATGTAGTCCCATTTGTTTATTCTTTCCTTTATATCCCTTGTTCTAGGGGACATATCTGTGAAAATGTTGCTGAATATTGCTGTGGAATATCTGAACTTTTTCTGCCTATGTTCTCCTCTAGGACTTTTATTGTGTTGCAACTTATATTTAAGCCTTTTACCCATTTTCACTTTATTTTTGTGTATGATGTAAGTTGATGGCTGGGTTTCATTTTTTTGCATGTAGCTGTCCAGATCTCTCAGTACCATTTGTTGAAAAAGCTATTTTTACTCCATATTATGCTCCTTTTCCCTTTGTCAAATATTAATTGACCATAGAGACATGGGTTTATTTCTGGGCTCTCTACTCTGTTTCATAGATATATGTGTCTGTTCCTATGCCAGTACCAGACTGTTTTGATTACTGTGGCCTTGTAATATAGTTTGATGTCAGGTATTGTTGTCCCTCCTACTTTGTTCTTCTTTCTCAAAATTAGTGAGGCTATTTGGGGTCATTTACAACTCCATATGCATTTTTAAAATGTTTGTTCTATACCCGTGAAATATGTCATTGGTATTTTAATAGGGATTGCAGTGAATCTATAACTTGCTTTGGGTTGTATGTAGATTTTGATGATATTAATTCTTCCAATTCATGAACACAATATATGCTTCATTTGTTTGTGCCTTCCTTAATTTCTTTCTTCAGTGTTGTGTAGTTTTCTGAGTACAGATCTTTTACCTCCTTGGTTAGGTGTTCCTAGGCACTTTAGGTACATTAACATTGATCTAATAAATGCCAAGCAGTGAGTTCTACTTCTTTATGAGCTTTTTGTGTGTAATAAAGTAAAAAGAAAAATAAGATAATAATAAACATCAAAGTCAAAATAGTAATAGCTATAGTTGATAAGGAAGTGAGAAATAAGAGTATACACAGCATACTTCAATTTTATTTTTTGTCTTATTTGTGCTGAACATTGTGTATACAACTTTTTGTTTATGATACTTCCTTGTTTAAAATATTTTATAATGAGAATTATTAAATACAGCTATAAATAAATCTGAAATTATTTATAAACCTGGTAGATACTGAAGATTATGAAAGCTCTGATATGTTGAAAGAAGACAACAAAGAATTACTTGGTGGGACCTTACACTGCATTTGTCTATTTTTTAATTCTGTGAAGAAACATGAGCGTCTTAGTTTGAAATAAGATAAATGGGCTTTATTCACAAAGTTGGTGACATTTTCTGTTTATTATTAACATTTATAGAATACTTATTGTGTGAATTATATACTATCAGGCAACTATGTGTTATTCCTCATTTAATCTTTACATTAACCACTTGAGGTATTTGCTATTTTATTCCCCTTTTTTGGTATAAGAATATTAGATCTTAATGCGATCAAGTGGCATGCTCAACATAGCACAGGGTGTAAGCAGATGAGCCACAGTGGGGATACAAGTAATTAGAATCTACTGTATGTAGGTTCAATCACATTAGTAAACTTTCTTTGAGGAGGTCAAGGGTTCTGATGTGTGTAGTGGCCCATCTTCTAGGCAAGGAGTGCAGCTGGTTTACAAAGGCTCAGGTTATATCACTGATTCTGAAGAGTTGACTTCCTTATCCCTAGAGAAGGACAGATACCCTGGTGATGACCTCTGGGTCCTCCTGTCCTTTATAAATATGGCTCTAGGGAATTCATGAGACTTTCCTTTGGGGACCATCATATAAAGGATAAAAATTCCAGTTACTATTTGGGTGCACAGGCTCAGAATCACTTGTGGTACACAGTTTGGTAAGTCTGCTACCTCTTTTCCCAGACCATGGATAGGACGACAGCAGGGAAGAAAGGAAAAAAGATATATGTGTCATAAAGCTGTGGAGAGCAAGAGGAACTGAGGTTGGGTTCATGACATGAAAGAAGTTCTAGATTTACACATAATAGCAAAAATATCACTGATAAATCTTGTTTACATTTTTATCTTTTCAGCCATTACAAGGGTGGGTGTTTCAACTTGGGAAGATGTAGTCATTGTTTTCTATCAGGGTAAAGTACAAAAATAAAGTAAAATAAACCATGAATGTGTCCTCTCACATCCCAAGGCTAAGACAATTCTAAGGAAATGAAAAAGACGTTAAAAACAATAGAAATAGTCTAGTGCATATCTGAGCAGTTTTCATGCAGAATGCGGGTCAAAATCAACCCCATACTCAAAAATAATGTGGTGCTGTATAAACAGATTACAGCTTATGTGGACCCTAGGGGGGGAAAACTGTGCTCTGTCTCCAGAAGTCACAAGATTTTGCTAACATACTTCCATGTGTAGTGTTGTCACATATCACCTATTTTTTAGGGTCCAGGATTTTCAGAGAGTTTCATTAGCATTAAAGAGCTCACTGTCTAAAAATAAGATTAAATCAGCAGGTAAATATAATTTCAAATACTTTTGTAAAATACCATTTCAAAGATAATAGCTGTGTAGGAGAGAGATTATTCTGTCACTATTTCTTCCTGTCATTCCAAATTTGCAAGATATTTACTTTCTTCTGTCAGGCAGAATCCACTTTTGAGTCTTTTGGTATTTCTTTTCTTTCTCTCTTTTTTTAAATCATTATTAACCACTCTAAAATATATATGTGAGAGATAGGAGTTCCATTTTTACAGTTATTATTCCTCAGAGTTTAGAATAATTTAGATTCTCCTTAAAAGCCAGGGGAAAAAAAACCCTTAACAATCATTCGTGTAACAACTACTGGTATTAATTTTACCATTTTACACAGCATATATATATATATATATACACATATATATATATATATATATGAAATGGAAATGGCTCACTGTTCATAGCATCTTATAACTTTTATATAAACATCTACTTAGTTATAAAGAAGATATTTGAGATTAAATCAGAGAGTGATTTGATAAAAAACAACCTTTGGTCGTCACATCTGTGCATTTTTGTTGCCCAGTAGCAAGTATGCTTTTAGACTTCTAACCTCCTCTCTTACCATTCCATGTTATTGGCAAGAAGCTCACTTTTTGAAACCATCGGACACACTCAATGATGTTTTAAAATGAAGAAGCTGCAGTAAAATCACTCCTAACTATATAAAATATCTTACTTTCTGGTCTCTTTCTCCCTCCCTCTCTTTTTCTCTCTATTCCCCAATTAAAAAATTTCTCAAAATAACCAAGTCTTTTATATTAAGCATCTAATGCAAACCTTCCTATTGGCATGGAGAGAGATTCTTTTCCCTGGGTATTCTTGACTTTTAATTACAGGCCAATATTTATTTAATCCAACAAATTCTTTCACATCCACTTTGCCTTAATCATAATGGAATTATAAATCATGAAATATTAGATGAGAGAATATTTGCTTTACTTGGTTTTCCACTGTAATGGGTGAGTGCTATAAAGCTTGGGGACACTTAACTAGTTCCAAGAGGATTGGTCATTATGAGACCTAGAGTGTTCTTTACGGTCCACTGTAATTTTTGTTTTCTCTATTTTGTCTCTTCCTTAATATTTTGGTTAATTGATTAGTATGTTTGAACCACTGGTCACTAAAATGTATAAATTAAGAAATTAATATATTAACATCTTGTGTGCCATGTGAGTTTGCATGTAGCCCACTTTGGAGATCAGTACATTAAAACCTCTGAGGACTATCGTTCAAAGATGATGAATTTAAACATTTTACCTTCCAATGTGATTTTTAACAGTCTCTAGAGCTCTTTTAGCATTTTGAAAATAGAATCACAAAAGAGAAACAGTAACTTTTGTCTGTGAGTTATTTTGTTATGTGTGTTTTTGGTTAGGATTTTTAAGGCACCAGCAGGCATCAATTGTCATTAGTACATTTGTGGGGAGCACATAGAGAGTGTTAGTAAGTACTAAGGAATGTCATGGTCCTGGTTAATAATCTGTTGAGTGGGAAAGAGGCAGAAACAAGTTGATAATGAGGGTAATGAATGGTGTGTGTAAAATTGTATTAATTAATTCACTCATTACCCTTTAATTATGTGTGTATATAACATATATGTTATATATACATATATATGTATAAAAGCAGATACATAAATAAATGCATACAGTAAACAATGACCTTGTATAGGGTAAATAAAATGCATTATGAAACAAAGATTTAGAGTAATAAAATTATGTTTTCCGTAACTGAATTCCAATCATAAAAGTTTTTCTAGAAAGAAGATTTCATTTATTCTGAAAACGAAGCTATTGATGAGGTTATTAATAATGAAATAAACAGTTAAGATAGCTTCCTTTTTTCCAGTACTGTTAAACATCATGGTAACAGACTGGTATCTTCCAATATGGGTCAGCACACATCTGCAGTGAACACATTCATTAAGAAATCACGAGTGAGATGTCCCTTTCTAACGACACGCAGCTCCAACCCTCCTCCTTCTTGCTTCTGGGAATCCCAGGACTGGAAAACATCCACATCTGGATTGGCTTTCCTTTTTGTGCTGTGTATCTGATTGTGCTTTTAGGAAACTTCATCATCTTGTTTGTCATCCAGACTAAGCGCAGCCTCCACCAGCCTATGTTTTACTTTCTGGCTATACTGGCTACAATTGACCTGGGTCTCTCCACAGCCACTATTCCTAAAATGCTGGGCATATTCTGGTTCAGCCTCAGGGAGATAATTTTTAATGCCTGCCTCACTCAGATGTTTTTCATTCACATCTTTACTGGCATGGAGTCGGTAGTCCTTCTTGCCATGGCTTATGACCGCTATGTAGCTATCTGTAACCCATAATACCACAATCCTTACCAATAAGATAGTGTCTCTTATTGGTTTTGGGGTGGTCGGGAGATCTTTCCTTGTTGTTTTCCCCTTTGTATTCCTCATCTTGCGATTGCCCTTCTGTGGACACCATGTCATCCCGCACATATACTGTGAGCACATGGATCTTGCTCACCTGGCCTGTGCAAGCATCAGGAATAACATCATATATCGTTTGGGGACCATTACTATCTTGGGGCTTGACATCATGGCCATCGCACTCTCATACATCTATATTCTCTGTGCTGTTTTCGGTCTTTCCTCTCGTGAGGCCAAGCTCAAGTCTCTCAGTACCTGTGGTTCCCATGTCTGTGTAACTTTGGCTTTTTATACCCCAGCTCTTTTCTCTTTTACGACACACCGTTTTGGTCAAAATGTTCCCCACTACATTCATATCCTCCTGGCTAATCTCTATGTACTTATTCCACCAATGCTCAATCCTATCATCTATGGAGTTAGGACCAAGCAAATCTGTGAACGGGCTCTCAGAATATTCATCCATCAATAAATAGTGGGTAAATACCTCCAGTTTTTGCCCACAGAATTAAATGTTAATATGTTTGCATCTAAGGAATGAGAAGAGACTTTGAAAAAGAAATGATTACTTAGTGGAAAGGATGTTGATGCTTTTTTTTTGTGCATTTCACCAATTCAGGGACCTTTAATTTTAAATATTATTAATTTAATTTAAAAATTACTTTACATAATACCTGAGCATGTATTCACTCTCTGAATAGAAATAGTCTCCTATTCAGTGATGTGGTGGTATTTTGTAGCTCTATACACTTTACTGTTAAAATATTTCATTGCAGAAATTCTGTTTACTTGACAAACACACAGTTGATTTTTGTAAGGCAAATTCTTTTACAGCCAAAATGTACAAACAAGATCAGGCAATTAAAAGGTTGTTCTTAAAATAAAGAGAGGGAGGCATTTGATATGACCAAATTGTATCCAAATGAATAGTGCTTTTTTTAATTAAAGGCTTTTTAAATAAAAGCACTATTCATTTGCCTTTAATTTTAAATAAAATAAAAGCTTTTAATTTTAAATACTATTAAGATGGATGAACAATGATTCTATATGATTATTTTGAAGAATAATGTAAGACATGGTCATGATTCTCAGAGATCTAAGTGGCCAATTTATAGAAGACATTTTTCCACTTTCATAATGGGTAACAGGTATTCCTTCTTTCACCTTCTCTCTCCGTCTATTTCTCCCTTTCTTCATCTCCCTTACCCCTTCTTTCTTACCCTTATCTCCTCCTACTTCTCTTTCTTCTGTTACTCATGTTTTTTTTCTCCCTTTCTCTCTCCTTCCAATATTTCTCTGTCAGCCGGTGTCAGCATATCTTACTATATGTGGCTTTCTCAACCTGTCCTGTCCCTCCTTTCCTACCTTTCTTCAGTACACTGTTCCATTTACTCTCAAAGTATAAACAGACTTTTTTATCATTGGTTTAATTGAGTAGTTGACTGATTGAGTTAATGGGTTACTTTAGCTAATGAAGAAACCAAATTACATCCCCAAAGTAATGAGCATGCCTCAGAGCCAGAGTGTGATGAAAGTGGGTGGACAGCATTTAAAAGTATATTGATCAAAGAGCTGCATAAGGAAGAATCAGAAACAGGGCAGTATAGTAAAGGCAGGAGGCCAGGGAACTAAGCAGAAATAAAAATTATTCTTACAGATACTAGAAATTTAATATGCTTAAAACTAAATATGTAACAATCTCATTAAAAAATTTTCTAAATGGTTGATAGAAGCACTATTCATTTGGATACAATTTGGTCATATCAAAAGTCTCTCTCTCTCTTTAAGAACAATCTTTTAATTGCTTGGTCTTGTTTGTACACTTTGGTCGTAAAAGTAATTTGCCTTACAAAAATCAACTGTGTGTTTGTCAAGAAAAAAGCATTCCTGCAATGAAATATGTTGAGAGTGAAGTATATAAAGCTACAAAAAAATACTGCCACATCACTGAATAGGAGGGGACTATTTCTAATCAGGGAATGAATACATGCTCAGATATTATGTAAAATTAACCATTGGTGTGGACTCCTAGGACTACTTTTTTTATTAGGTACACAAAGGCATTTCAAGAAGAGAAGACAACATGAGGATGATGAGAGAAATTTGATAAAATCTTATTTTTGCAGGTTCACATACAAAGTGGAGCAGTGTAGTTAATACAGAGATAGAAAAAACTAAAACCGGTAGGGTGAGATTAACATCAGATCATGTACTATCCATTTTCTATGTGAAAGGATTTGCTTTTTAACTTATAATAACTAATTCTGCAACACTAGAAGTTTTCTCATGCGTAAGCTGGAAACAAATTATATTTGTTATGAGGAAAACGGATAATCAGGACATATACCATGGACTTAAGTTGGAAAATAATATTATTTTATAGTTTCACAGAACCCCTGCTATTTTTGGACCTCATTGAACATTGTTGCTTTCACATTATTCTCAAATTTAATTGGAAATCTATTCGTGCTGTATTTTTAGTTAAAACTATAAGTAGATACTCTAATATACTCAAAGTACAATGATATATTTTGAACACTCTTGGTAATTGGATTTAATTTTATAATATATGTTATGTATTATAAGAATAAGAGAGGTATCCAAAAATTTAATTATGGGAATCAAAACATAGTATATTTAAAATCAGTATGATCTTAAATATAAAATTAATAATAAACAAATTATTCAAAATCAAAAATATTTAATGCTTCTAAAGCTCTTATTGTGTATCAAGCATAATTTTATATACTTTACATATATTATTTGATTTCATTAACACAGAAATCCTCCAGCATAGGTGCTGTTTTTATCTTCTAACAGCTGAGGAGAATGAGACATACAAACATATAGTATTGATATGTCACTTCATGTAGTAGTAACAAATGGAGCCTGGATTCCAGTTTGATTTTTACACTATGCTACAATATAATACCATACATAACCTTTAACAAATTACTTCAAGATAGTTTATTCACACTGGATTTTTTTCATCATTCAGTGTTAAGTGAAAATACGGAAGTTATAAAATGTTGTGATGAATATAAAAAGCATAATACAGAATAATGTAATTTTTATATATAAATTTATCAGATTTTAAACTGTTTCCTAGACAGCGAGATTTATTTTTTGGAAGTTTTGTTAATTGTATAAAACTTTTAATGTTGAACATCTATAATTTTTATAATCGTAAAATGTCATTAAGCTATGAAGAAATAAAAAATTGAAAGAAAGTAAAATTGAATATTTCCTATTTAACAGTTTCTTGTATTACACATTTTTCTGGTTATTTTTAAACCTAACTTATAAATATAAACTTATTATTTATTGCCAAGGTTTCTAAATAGATGTAACACTCTGTATTTCTTCTTAAATATTGATCATTACAATTCCATTTTAACATCTTAAGAAAAATAAAACATGGACTCATCCTTTACTCATCTTTTTCTTTCACAATCCACACCAAACTATCAATCAATTGCATTTACTTTGCCTTAAAATTATATGCAAAATCTGAGCATTTCTTGAGATAAATCAAAGCCCATAATCTAATTATTAAAATTCAAATTATATCATCTGTAAAAGAAATAATAGGGTAATAAAATTGAGACCTTGAGTCAGGAAAAGATTTCTTAAACAGGACACATAAAAGAAAACATCTTGGATTTTATCTCAAAATTCAAATTTATTTGGTAAGGAAACTATTAAAGATGAAAGAGCAAACCACAAACAGAGAGAAAATATTTATAGTACATAGTTCTAAAAAAGGTCATGTAAGCAGACCATATAAAGTTATTCTATAGGTCAATTATTAAGAGATGAAAATTAAACAATATAAAAGATTGGACAAAGAACTTGAACATGTACTCATAAAAATACATATATCCAATAAACACCAAAAATGCCTAGAAATTTTAATCCTAAGAAAATTATTGGTAGGTACAAAATAGGCAGAAGGATATTAAGAATAGTATAGGAAATGGAGAAGCCAAATGATTTATATGAACAACCCATGGGCATGAACTAAGGGGGGGATTGCTGGAGGAAAGGGGAGAATGGGGTAGGGGGTTAAAGGGGGGTAATTGGGACAACTGTAATAGCATAATCAATAAAATATATTTAAAAATAAAATACCTGTTAACTCTTTAATAAAATGCCTTTTTATGCTTCAATAGGTTGGCATACACACAAATAATTGACAACATGAATTGGTGACAGTACAAAAAGGGAACAACTGGAAACCTCATAAATTGATGATATGGTGAAAAATATTATATTAAATGTGCATTCTGCTACACATCTCCTATGACCTTAAAGCTCTACTTTTTAGTCACTTAGCCAAGAGAAATGGAAATATTTATGCACAGAAAAGACAATATTAAAATGTTCATGGTGACTTAATTCACAGTCCTGCTGATGGAAAAACAATCCAAATGCACTTCAGTTCTACAATTGATAAACACATTGTGCTATGTTCACAATGAAATAATACTCCATGATAAAAAGAAAAATGAAGAACTACCATCTACACTACAAAATAATAAATATAAAAACAATTTTCTGAGGGAAATAAGCTAAAAGAAAAAAGTATATATACTGTATGCTTCAATGCAACTAAAACTCAAGAACAGGTAAAACAACCCTACAGTGATAGAAATCAGAATTGTGTTTGCTTATCTTGGGAGACAAGGCAAGTTATATGAGAGAACTTTCTGGAACAATGGAAATACGCATAATCAGATTTACATGTTGGCTGCATGAGTACCTTCATTTATCAACATTTTTGAAATTGTACACAAAAGAGCTAAGCATTTTACTACATGTAAATTATTTCTCAAAAAGTAAACAAAATATACATAATAAATTCCAGAAAAAATAATAGACACTGAATAAGATGGGATATCTGTTCCTTTGAGCCAATGAGGACTAAAATATTCCACCAGAATCAAGGGCCTATAATAAATCCTATTCAAAATCCAGTATGGAAAAGGGTTAATGCAGCAGAATGAAAGCTGAAAAATAACTTCGGGGAGTAATTGTTTTTGATACAAACACTTTCACAAAGATGCACGACCATAATTCTCAGATCACACTCTCAGTCTTTGAACTCAAATAATTCAAGCACCTTCTGGTTGTTGCCTTCACCTTAGATATCTTGAAGATATCTTGAAGTTCCAACTGGAAGATTAATACTTAAACTGAGGATCACAGAAATTTTGGTAGAGAGCCATCTCAGAAGTTCTGGCCAGGAACTGATTTGTAGGTATAATGATACTGAGATTTATAGAAGATAAAATAAAGTGAGTGAATGAGACAGAAACAAGAAAAGAGACAAATTTTAAAAAGCAAGAGAAAAAGAAGATAAGGAAATATCCCACTTGAAACCTTTATAACCTATAGGATCTTGAAACCTATATAACACAGTGCATAAGAAAGTCAACCACAATACTAACAGTAAAAAACAATCAGTTTAGA